GTACATGTTGGCCAGACTTTAAAAAAATCAGTATTTGGAAGGAATATGAAGTCTCAGTCTAGTTCTCTGCCAATTAATTTAATTCCTGCAACAATTTTAGAAAGCAAAGATGAAACGACAATGAAAAGCCTTTATACTAAGCAGTATTGACAGGGCATGGCTAGAGTCAAAAGAGCAACTGCAGACTACATACCTCATAGATAGTAACGTCTTAGTCCTTTACTATTAATGATGTGATATTCAGTGTTCCCAAATCAGATGTCACACAGTGGTAATGATCTGCAGACTTTTTTTTAACCTTCGCAGACTTAAAGTTTAGGTTAACTGGCAGCATTTAAATATTGGGAGATTTTCCATCATGATGCATGCACAGTTTTATAGAAGAAGCTAAAAAAGCAAACTGAAAACAATGGAACCGTATTCTCGTAAGAGTTAGCTCCTGCCGAATAATGGCTGCTCACGATGGGGGGAACAATTACCCAGGTTCCTTCCTGGGACTGCTTCAGTAGGTTACATTACCTGCGGGTTTCTGCAGCAGTTCCATTGTACCTTCTGTCTTAAAAGATTATATTCATCCCCTTTTTATTTCACTCATTAGGATGACACCATATAATGATAATGTGTTTCAGAATATGATTTGCAATTTTGCCTAGATTAATTTCCATCAAATCAATTTTGTACCATTTTGGGGCTATTTTAATTTTAATCACAGTGTTGACTTTTCTATGACTTTCTTTTCTTCAATTTTTTCAGTTAATCAAAAGGTGACTGAAGAGTGAAGAAGAAACAAAGTCTCCTCCATTACCCTCTGGGCTACAGAGAGACCATAATATCATTTCCTATTCATTTTGTCAGCTCATTCATTTTGAGAATATAAGATATAAATGCAAATGCCCCCCAAGTAAATATTTTGGCCACTTTGAAAGTGAACTGCTGCAGACGACTTGCTGAAATTGGCATAAAATAAATTTTAGAATAAAAATACTGAATACTGATATTGAAAGTACTTGTAGCCAAAGTGCAAATAGGTATTTTATAACATAAGATCAGGGGCTGAGGATATAGCTCAGTGGCACAGTGCCTGCCTGGCAAGCACAAGGTCCTGAGTTTAATGCCTGGTACCAAAACAAAAACCAAAAAAAAAAAAAAAAAAAAAAACACTACATCAGATCAGGTCATTAGAAGATTGCAAAAAATCTGATTCTTTGAATACTGTTTTGTTCAAATCAATTCACTAGAGGAAATTGATTAGTTTTGATATTCATAAACTATAGACAAGTTTTTATATTGTCTATGTTGTGCAGTAGAGGAAAATTGCAATCATTTTTCTCAAATGTAAGAACTAATTTGCTATTTAGAATATAATTATTCTATTTGTATAAGACAATTTTTCTCACACTTTTGGAATTGGTATCTTTATGCTGAGAATGTAGATTAAATTCATCTATATTTACTATACTAGGGGTTTAAAATTAGAAATTTTTAGAATAATGATTTTTAATTTCTCCAATATCAATATTTCATTACACAGTAATACATATGGCATATTTTTATAACTATATTTTCCAAAACAAAAAGCCAGTGAAAATTTAAAAAAATCTTTTTGGCTTTATTAATTGAAGATAGCTAAGTTATCTGCATGTGCATTTAATCACTTGTATTATATCATTTTGGGTAAAGTCTACAAAGAAAAATCCAACCTTATACATAGTTGAAAAGGTGATGGTTCATGAACCCCCTGGAAAAGGTTTTAGGGACTGTTGTTCCCCAACACAATTATATTTGGCTTATAATTCCCATTTTGGGGGACTGTAATGTTAATTTTATGTAGAGTATTGTCCCCAGATGTTTAATTGAATATTAAGCATTGCTTTGAAGGTACTATTGTGTAGGTATGATTAAAGTCTCTAATGATTGTAGTGATCAATTGGTTTTAAATAGGGAGATTACCCTAAAAAATCTATATGGGCCTGATTCAGTCAATTAAAAAGCTAAAGAAACAGAGCTGAGACTTCCTTGAAGAAGAAATTCCATTTTGGAGAGCAGTATCAGCTCTTGCTTGTGAATTCCAGCCTGTTTTTGTCAGTGGCCTACCCTATGTGCTTCAGACTTGTTTATCCAGCCCCCACAATTGTGCAGGCCAATTCTTTGCAATAAATCTCTTAATAACTTGTTTTTCTCTCTCTCTTCTCTCTCCTCCTTTTTTCTTCTTGTTCGATAGAGTCTCGCTATCTATCCCAGGCTGGACTAGAACTCAAGATCCTCCTACATTAGCCTCCCAAGTACTGAGATGACTGGTACGACCTACCTAATTGGCTTAATATGATAATTATACAAAGCTCACTAAGCAGAAATGGTCACTGTTAGCTCTAACAGGGGAAATTTATCAAATGACAACAGCTATCAGCAGCTCTTAGTCTAGATTCTTAAATTTCTGGTTCCTATTTCAACCCTTTATCAATCTTTTTCCTTTGCCATAATAAGCTTCTAATATGTGTGAAAGCACATTTGTAGATACAGACGTTTTTATCACTTCCTATACACATACCACAAAAGTTTCTTGGAAATGTTTTTTTTTTTTTTCAGGTACTGGGAATTGAACTCACAACCTTGCACTTGCCAGGCAGTCGCTGTACCGTTGAGCTAAATCCCCAGCCCCTTCTCGGAAATGTTAAATGGATATAAAATATCTTTTATACAGATACTCATTGTATATACCAAGAACCAGATATATCAAATATTTTACATATCTATTTCAAACCTATGAATGAAAGTGATAAAAAGAAACATAGGGCTTTGTTTTGTAGTCACAGAGCTTATAAGTTATCTGGGAAAATAACATTAGTTCTTGAGATATGAGATGAGATTTGATAAAATACCAGGTATCTGATTCTATCAGCAATTTTTTGAGCCTCAGGCACTGCAATAGGGTCACATCCATATTTTTCAGCTGCTAGTATTATTTAATGGAATTTTCATCCATACCTGATGCCATTACTTGTCAGTGAGTTTGTGGAAAACAGGGTTCATGACCAGTAAGCAGGTGGTGGTTAATGTTGGCCTGTGGATTGATGGCTGAGAATACAGAGAATGGATAAAAACAGGTGAAAAAGGAAGTGGGGAAGTTTGCAGAAATGGCAAAAATCAAATAATTGAAGGCTTAGACATTTTTAAAGGCAATAAAAGAAAACTGAGTGAGCCGGGGATGTGGGGATGCATTGAGGAGTAACAAGAAATTTTTGTGAAAAACAGATTTCCATGTTTGAAAGACTGAGCAAAGATCCTGTATTTCCTCACAAGCAAGAGAGGGCATTGTATCATTGCTAAGCTTAGGTGAGACATATGTGAGTGTGTGTCCTACTTCTGGCAAATACTAGCTATATGATCTTCAGTATGTTACTTAACCTCTTTGGGCTTCCATCTCTACATCTATGCGCTTTCAGAAAGTGTCACCTTTCATTTCAGGACACATAGACAACTGGTACTATTACTAGGCATCTTGTCACACAGCAAAAAATGTTCATAGGCTAAATCTGACATTTTTTCAAAACTGTACAGTTTTAGTAATCTGTATGTACTGGAATGTGAAGACAAGTAGATCATATATAATATTTTAGACAGCTTGAGAGGGCAGCACTCAGCAGAATTAGGACATAATTGTTTCTTAGTTTAAACTGGAATTTTAGGCTCAGAGACTAGTGGTGTATGTGTTTGTGGTAGAGTGTAATAGATGTGGTTTCCCCTTTCAAAGGAGCTAAGTATTTTAATTGTGTATTCTTAGATGTCATCGATAGAAAGAGCTTTATAGGAATATAAAGGAAAAGATGAAGACATTAAAAGAAATCACATGATCACCTTTTAAAGTAATTTAGTGCTCACTGAATGCATGTACTCAAGTGATTTATAGGGAGGAGGGGTAAGTTTTATCAACATGCATTTTTGTTCAGTCCCTATAGCTATCCAACTCCCACATTTGTAAAGTAGCTGCTTAGGGTAGAGGTAGAGTGAGACCTGGGAATAAAGACACGTGATCTTCATGTAGAAATAAAAGCTTTGTACTAGTAAGATATGCTAGTTAGGAGTGCGTGCAGCTCACTATCCTAAAACTTCTGAGAGAGGACTATGAATTGACAAAGTTAAAAAAATGACCCTGGCCAAAGAAAAGCATGAAATAGAGCCTTCAAGTTTATGTGAGCCATTATTAGCATATCATTGGTAAAGGAGACTGAGATTCATAAAGATGAAGCCATGCACTTGAAGTCATGAATCAGTGTCACAGCCAAGATTACCTTGTAACTTCTAGAAATGCATGTACTTCCTCCCCCTCCCACTGTTTCCTTGAAGTTACACAAATTTCTGTATTTCTGTTCAGTCGTTTCTACCCAGTTCAAACAACATTAACAAAGCAAGAATTCATTAGGTCACAGAACTGCAAGGTTCAGAGATATAGGGGCTCCAAAAATGTCATCAGCTTGGAAACTTCAGATAGGCAGGCAGAGAGGCAGGCGAAGATAGACACAGGCACACAGGCATGCACTCACACACACATGCACACACGCACAGACTCAACCTAGAAACCTAAACAGAAAGTCTTCCCTGACAAATGTTACATTGCCGAAGTCCTGGGAAGACTGATTGGTTCATTCTGAGTTGTATACTCATCCCTAGACCAATCACTGATCCATGCGGGTGGATATTCTTGATTAACCAGTTCACATGAACAACTCTGTGTAGAAGTCAGCACTTTTAACCACACCGAGTGTGTATTCGCGAGAAACTGAGTTTTCTTTTTTTTTTTTTTTTTTTGGGGTTTTCTCCAGTACCGGGAACCGAACTCACGACCTTGCGCTTGCCAGGCAGGCGCTTTGCCGCTGAGCTAAATCCCCAGCCCGAAACTGAGTTTTCTAATCAGAAGGTCGGAGATTCTAGATGAGCTCTGACAAATATACATTACAATCATATTATAAAATGTAACCTGATACTCAAGGACAGAAACTTACCATGCATAGGAGTATGAGCCTGGGCTAGGGTGTTGCTTTTCTTCTAAATGACTGATGACAAAATCTGTAAAAATAAATATGAAGGAAATTTTTTATTTTTTAAAGATAAAAGATTGATTCACTATGATTTCCTTCTGGATAATCTTTTCCATACACGTTCTTAGTATATTAAACATTTTATATTTGTAGATCAGCTTTTGGCATTTAATAATGTTAGTTCTCTTTCTTTGCACATATAGTCAAGATATAATTGTTTGATTTATGCTAAGGCAGGGTCATGCCATTTATTAGCACAGGCTATGAAGATCTCTTTGGGGATCAATCCAGTATTATTTATGTTATGAAATCAAATAGTTAAAATATTGTGCAGTTTCCTATTTGTGGTGTTCAGTGTTTAGGGCTTTGAAGGCCACTGTTTTCCAAATGCTGTTGCCTGGCTTTTGTGATTTTATAGCACATATTTCCTGCTGTGCGCAGACTGCAGTGGGCCTGCCTTATTCTGATTTTCTTTAAAATTTCAATTCACATGAATCTTGATTAATTTGGCTTTAAGAATTTCATGATATAGGTGGAGATGTTGTGGAATCCAGCAAATATGATGTCACATTTAAAGACAAACACAGATTTAAGTGGAGCACAAATTCTCAAGAAATTGTCAGAAGAATGAAAAAGAGGCCCAGGTGCCTTTGTGGACTCAATAGCTTTTATCAGAGCTAAAGAGATAGTGTATAGTCATAGATAGGAGCTGGGAATTTTAAATTAAACATTTCTGAGTTCAAGTTCTGACATCTCACTAGCTGTTTATCTTAAGCAATTTTCTTCAGGTCTTTGAACTTTGGTTCCTTACCTGTAATGTGGGTGCAGTGCTACCAGCTAAGTAATGGATAATTTAAATAGGGTGGTTGGTGCCCTGTAAGCTCCAAGATTATCCGTTGTTTTGTGACAGTCATCAGATAATTTATATAGGGATGATGAAAAAAAGTTAGAGGAGAAATAGCATATAATACAGTTCCTAAAATAGCACAGGCAAGACACATGCAGTCGTGGAGCTGAACGCTAAGTTTCACTGACAGAGGTGCTGGTCTTTTCTATTTTCTCCAAGTAAAATTTTCTAAGTTTCTTTAGTTTCAGCATCCATCTCCCTTTGCATTCTGCATAATCGCAGACAGAGTTAATTCCTAATTATAGATTGCTTACAACATAAGCTGCTGCACTGGTATTCTCTCCAGTTTGAATGCAAGCAGCTTTTCTGTAGAAACTGCATGTTGCTTTTTATTTATTCTCTGTAGCATCATCCTTTGCTTATAGTAATCAGCATTTGTCAATGAATTGGGAAGGTGAAGGAAGTGCTTTTCCTCTTCCAGTCCTTTCAAGTCCGACTAGATTGTTTTACATAAATTGGCAATAGATACATATACAAGTAAATGCTAGGTATGTGGATTGGGATGAAAAAACTTACTATACTGTAAGACTTGGCAAGGTCTCTTTGTAAAGATGTGTATAAGGTCCACAGATATCAAATTATGATTCATTTACTCTCACAAAGGCTCGAATAAGTCTGCATGCTATTACTATTAACATTTCAGGATTCTTCTACATAGAAGGAATGGAAGGAAAGGCTCATGGGAGGAGGGTTTTCTGGCAACTCTGATACTCATGCTTAGTGTCACTGCTGACACCATGGTTTGGACAGAGGCTGAGCAGGAGAGTCACTCAGTGCATAACCCTAATCTGTGGTACAGTGTCTTCTGGCACTTTGGATCAAGAGCAGCAGGATCTGGCTGCCAGTGTGACACTTTCAAGCTTTGTAAGATGTTTCCATGATGCTTTTCCTGTGCAGCAAGAAGGCAACAGAGGGGTCAGGAATGAGGGCGTGTCCTGTTGGGTTTCAACACTGGGAAGAGCTCAGGTACCGCAGATTTGCTGAATACATCCTTATAACCCAAAGAGCCCTGGGGAACACTTCCAAAACCTTGTCACCCATCCCCAGAGCTTCTCACCATCCTACCACTGCTCAATAATCAGTAGCCCCTATTTCTTGCTGTCACTTAACTTGTCTTCCAGCTGTTGTCACCTTCACTTTGTCATCTGTATAGCGTGTTGATTCAGGAGCTCTCATTTCCAGCATTGACTCTGGCTTTTGGTACCCATGCAAGACATGAATCCTGCTTCTGTCACTATTTCAGTAAGAGTCGATACAGATTCCTCACTATGTGTATAGCAGCTCTCGCCCCAGTTCTACACCAAAACAAACTGAATTGGGCCAGATACTATAAGCTGACAACTCATCTTGATTTTCCATCAACATTAAGAGGGGTTAGTATTCTATAATCATTTCAGCTCATTTTTCTGGGAAAATCTGTGGGAAGGAGGCTTTCAAATTATCTCTATGAGATTTAAGGTTCAGATTGTCATCTATTCTCATTTATTTTATATTCTAAGGTTTCTTGAGCTATGATTTATTTTACCCTTGATGTATATCTGTATTAGATATTTTTAATCCCAAAATGTTATAGTGAAATATACAATGCAGGTTACAATTGATGCCATCTTAAACACAAGTTATATGATAGTAATACACCTCATATTATATTAGACATTCTTCATATAGTTTACGGCTTGGCTTTACATTTTCCTGCAAGTATCCTATTTAATAAAACTAAGCAGTGATATTCTTAAGAACAATTAAAACCGACTACATTTTGAGAATTGCTGAATCACAAGGTAAGGGGTGCTTTACACTTGGATTGCAGTTGTCTGCAGTACAAAAGATCCTCCACAAAAGCAACAACATCTTTTTTCTCATCAAGACAGAAAATATTCCTATACTTATCTATTTACTTTAGTTGGATAAGAAAATTTTAAACAAATTGATCTGTAAGACTCCTCCCCCCAATTAAAAGTCCTTCAGTACTTCTGGTTTCTAATTTTTCATGTGAGGAATTGAAGCCAACACTCACCCTGAAAAGCCTAAACAGATTGAAAGAGCGACAGCTCTTCTTGGATCTGTAAGAGGCGAGGACACAGGTACATCCCTGCTTCCCAGACAGAGACAGCCAGAGAACCGTGGCTCAGAGCAGAGAGTAAACCAGAGCAGAGAGTGAAAGGTCAACTAACGTGGGAGTAAATGCTAGGCTAGGAAAACCTGGAAGGTGATTGACAAACTGCTGGAGACTTAACATGTTCAAATCTAAGAATTAAAATCCAGGAGGAGCTAATGAGGGGGGCCTCAACACCTATGTGCATTTTACCTCCAGTATGACCAAGTTCTTATAGCAAATAATAGAGGAGAAACTCCATGCTTCTGTCAGCAAGAGGTAAAAAGGAGAAGTCTGCTCTCTTAAACAAAGTCTGCAGTCTCAGGAGAAACTGCTAATCTGCTGGAGTTTTATCAGAGCCTTACTGACATGAGAGAGAAAAGTACTCAACTCCAACTCACTGCAGCCTTCCACATGGGAGAAGGGAAACTTAGTCTGAGTAGTTCATTATACCATCCTTTCTCATGTAAGAGGGAAGAAAAAACCTGTGATGTCTTGTGATGGTCACAGTTCAGAGACACAAACTCATTAAAAGATTAGAACTAAATTATAGGATCATAGGGCAGTTCTCCATCCACATCTTACCTCCATATTATTAAAGGTCTTATTTGTAGTGACCTTTATTACTTGTACATTATGTCCAGTTATCATTAAAAAATATACAGTATACTAAAAGGTTAAAAATACACACACATACACACAAACACACATGTGCTTGAAGAGATGATGTGATCACCAGAACCAGATATAAAAGGAATTTCCGAACTTGAGAATATATCAATAGTGACATCCTGACTGGAAAAAAAAACATTACAACAAACACAATGTACGGCAAACTATCCAAGGACTAGTGTAACTACAAAAGTGTGACATATGCATAATGGCAATTCCAAGAGAAAAAAAAAAAGAACCAAAATATTTGAAACAACAGTGACTGAGGATTCCTCCCAATTAACTTCAAACATCAAACCAGGAAGTTCAGAGAACATAAACTAGAAGAGCTGTCAAATAAACTACAAATATCAAACAGAAATCAGAAAATCAAACATGTAGAAAAAAATTGTAAAAGAAGTCAGACAATGCCATATATGTAGAAGGAACAAAGACAGAAATTGCCTTTGATTTCTACTGAGAAGCTGGGTAAGGAAGAGGAGAGTGGAGGGAGATATTTAAAGTGTTAAGAGAAAATACCCATTAGCTTAGAATTCTGAACTCTGCAAATTTATCTTTGAAAAGTGAAGGAGAAAAGAAATTCTCAAACAAATATGGAGAGAATTTGTTACCATTAGGACCACCCATGAGGAAATGCTAAATGATCTGTGGTGAGAAGAAAAATAATACAGGTCAGAAACTCAAATCTACACAGAGGAAAGAAGAGCAGTGAAGACAGAATAAGTACAGGTAAGACAAAAACTTTTGTTTTTCTCATAACTGTTGTAGCAGATAACTTGTTTTAAAGAACACTGTATTTAAATACATTATATAGATAGATAGATAGATAGATAGATATAGCTATATATCAGCGAAACAACAGCAATGAAACATGGTACAAGACAGAGGAATTACAATTAATTATTCTGATCAATAAGTAATAATTGTGTTATTATGAGGTACTCACATTACCCTTGAAGAGGAACAGTGTTATTTGAAAGTGGACTTATATTTGTTGTAAAGCAATCTTTGAAAATGCTCACATTAAGACAACAAAAGGTCGGCCGGGGATATAGCTCAGTGGCATAAGTTCCTACCTGGCAAGCGCAGGTCCTGAGTTCGATTCTCGGTACAAAACAAAACAAAAAACAACAAAAGGCACAGAAGAATGGAAGACAAAAAGAGGAACAAAAACTTACAAATATTAACTCATACTTTAAATAATTGTGTTTATATTCTAATGATGATGTCACAATCATTGGCAGGAAAAAAGAATAATGAATATGGACAATAAATAGAGAATTAACAACTATGATAGATATTGATTCAACTTTATCAAGGATGACCTTGAATGCTAAAGTCACTACTGAGTAAA